AAATTTGGGCTCCGAAAAAAATTTTGTTTTTTTAGCAGAAACTTTATGATTTGTTCACACTAGCGTTAATATGTTCATTTTTTGCTGAATAGAAGTCAAATTACGGTCTCTAATTACAAACGCAAGATTTTATTTTATTTTATGTTTCACAGAAGGATGCAAAACGCACTTATTGATCCACGTTTTTCAAACTGATTCAAATTTAACCAAAAAAGGTCTATCATATTTCGTTCATGAAATTCAAAGAGCTTTTGAGCAATCATATTTTTATGAAAACAACAAAAAATTATAATTTTTTACATGATTGACATTTATTTTTTATCGTTGTTGAGCATTTTTTATTGAAAGCTAAAGGATGTCAAGAAGAGAAAAATAGCGCAATCGGTTGCTCACTTTATTTTCAACATTTTATTTCAAAACGTATTTCGCTAACTCAGTTAAAAATGCGAAAAAAAATGAACACCACCTTTGATTCAAACGTTTTAGCTTTTTAGCCAGCCTCTTAACGCTTTTGAAGCTGTTTTCTGTGTTTCCCTTTAGCAATGTAGAGGCTTGACATGGAAACGGTCTGAGAATCCCGAATTGCAGTAGTTCAATTCAGTTTCTTAATGGAAAATGAGTTATTTTAATTAAACAAACGGTATGTCGATTTCAAAACCCATAACTTAGAGTCCAACTTTTTCTTTACATCTAAAATTGGATGAACTAATAACCCAAATCCTCTTAGATTAGAAACCTTATTCGATAGGAAATATGAAGATTTGTTTTGTCCACATGGAATTAGTTATTGCAGTAATCTCGCAAAATTCTTGCAAGATATAAATTCTTACGAAATTAATCTCAATGAATCCAGAATTTAAGTTTGATGCGTTACTTTTTCTTCAACTGGAAAATCTTGCGCGAGAAGCTTAGCCAGACTCTTGCATGACCTTCACCGCGCAGAAACTTAACTCATAATTTACAGTATTTTATCTATTCACGAAAACACCTGAATTTGCATTTTTTGACTTTAATTCTCTAATAATCATTACAGTAAGGTTAGGTAGTGGTTGAAATCTGATTACTTACACAAACAATTTTCCAGACTAAAGCGCATATACCCTTTTTTGAGCGTTTTCTCAAATATTTTATATGTTTTTGAAAACATTGGCTTTAATGCACTCGGGCAAATTATTCATGCATTCTCGTCAGTTTGAGAATTGCTAATTTACCTGCTAGGGAGTAGCAAAAAAAAAACATTCAAAAAGCACTTAACATACCAAAAACAGCAATGATAAATAAGTTTGTTAATTAGAACTCTATATTTGCTTAGCTATTGAACCAGCCTCGCGTGAGCGTACAGCAACTAAGTTGCTACTTTTCCGACCATGACAGGACTTTGAAATCATACTTGAAATGTTTAGACTTTCTGGCCTTTTCCTCCCCCCCCCCCCCACCTGCAAGTTTTTACATGTAAACTTGTTGACCACACTGTCCGATTGTAATAAAAAATTACATGCGGACTAATGAGGCCACGACAAACATATTTGGGATTCATTTTCATCCTCGTAAAACCATTCGTTACACTAATATAATGAAGCTCGTGTGAAGTGAGGGGGGGGGGGGGGGGGGGGGGGTGTTGGGGAGAATACAGCTTCAAAATTATATATGTTCTTTTTTTTCAAATTGAGACTTCCAAGGTTGTTTTCATTTTCTTTACACGTCTGGGCCGAAAGTGTTGATCTGTAAACTGATTTTTGTGAAAATTTTAGCATCAAGAACCCGTAGATCTCGAAAATTTTCAGGGTTCACTATGAAGCTAGCTTCTAGTTTGCGGTAAGCAGTTCTCCTCAACTGATTGTTGCTGATTGCTCTTATTGTTGTAGGTCTTTTCTCAGCATGCTCAGTTTCAATTTAAAATAACTATAAATCTTCAAAAAAGTTAAAGTTTTGAAAAAATTAGGTTGACCTTTGTCTTGACTGTGCTTGACTTTTCTTCAGACTTTCTCGACCAAATTTAGGGACGTTTTGTTGTGCTCGACCTATGTTTTGATCTTCTCGACCGAAACTGGGTATGATTTGACCTTGCGCTCGACTTAAATCTACCGTATTGTCGACCGCGGATTTTTAGTATCAAAGCTGCACTTTCTCGACTGTCAAATTCGAAACATAATTCGAGCATCAAAAACTGGAGTTTGCGCTTAATTTTTTCCACTAGTGCATCTCGCGCAAAATTTGGTCGAGACTTAAGTTGCGGACCTCGAATGCTGTGCTTATTTATGAAATGATAGTACTTGCCCTTATTTGGGTCCGGACACCCGTTGTATGCACGTTTTCCCCTGTTTTGTCCAGCAGCTGCGGAGTCGATCAAACCAGTCCTTTGTTCAAACCAGTTTAAACGACTGCGTTTTGAATCGACAACCCAAGTATGCAGAACAATTAAGAAAATTGTAGCGCTAATAGAATTCATGCAGGGAATTTTATCTAAATATAAATAACAAAACTTTTCATGGCGATTTTAAACTCTTTTAAGAATAAACAAATATATTTGGCTTTTTTAAAACGTTCGCGGCCTACTCTCCACCAAAAAATTTGATAAGCGAACTATGAATATAAGTATGAAAAACCCAAGACATCTTTGTAGTTGGTTAACTACACTAGTCGTCAAAAATCAAGCGTAATTTTAAGTTTGTACCCTCTAAGATGCTTGTTTTAATTGCGTCCAATTTGGATAAAATTAATTCGAGTTTTCACAAAATTTTTACATAGACCAAGAGCAAACAATTGGAGCAACACTCTATTAAAAAATCAGCATTTTGTATCAGAAACTTGCCAATTAAATGTTCATCTGCACTAGATAGTAATCTCTTTCTCAAATAGACGGAGCAAGTTTAACTCGGCGGTTTATTATTTTTTCGCTCAGTTTGAAAAACATAGGGTAGTCCCAGCTTGCACTAGTGGACAAAATGAGCGCATTTTTTTTTCTAAACTGCCTCTTTTCAAGGATGATTTTGCAAAACAATCACTGAAATTTTGAAAAATTTGAAAAAAAAATTGTACATGTACCAAGGCAAATGGTCAGAGCTACCCTCTCTGAGTTTTTCAAAACGATTGAAATTGTAAGAAACAGCTGAGTTTAGTAAAATTCTCACGCTGAACAAATCAGCTATTCGTTTAGATTGTTTCACATCTATTATATGGCTAAAATTAGCGCTGATAGGTAAGAACTGGCATTTTCTGATTCTAAGAAGTCCTTGAAACCAAATTTTAAAAATTTCGCAGAGAGTAGCTTTGACCCTTTCCACTTGGTCCACGCACAAACTTGATTTAAATTCCCTTTTAAATAACTTGATTTAAATAACTTGATTTTTGACAAAGTGAAAGTTGTCAAAAATCATCCTTTAAAACAGGCAGTTCAGAGAGAAAACATCTGAATTTGCGCTTGATTCTATCCACTGTCCGGTTTGACGTCATACAAGAAAAAGCCTATCAAACAAATTCATATATGGAGACATATGAAATAAATGCTTGTCATACAACTTTCATTGAAAAAAAACTGTACGACAAGCATTTTTCAATCGAATTTTTGTTTCAAAAATTATCTTGGATTGGTTTCAATCTGGTGACAGTTTTGGTTACATGTGTAGTAAGTCTTCGATGCCAGATATTGAGAGTTTCATAGAGGATAACTCTGATTATTTGCTCTTGTTTTATGCAAAAAGTTTGCTGAAACTTGAGGTAAAAGTTATCCAAAACGGCCAATGAACACAGTCATCTTAGAGAGTAAAAACTTGAATTTGCAGTTAATTTTCAAAAAACAAGGTACTAATTTGGACACATTCCTAATTTACTCACTCGGTTTTTTGAGCCTTGACAATCACTTGCTCGTTTTGAAATTTGAGTTTAAATGATTAATTAAAAAAAAACTAAATTGTGGCATGTCTTTTGGCGGTTAAAAAGAAGTCGTTTATTGTTTGATTTTGAGTGTTTTCCAAACAAATGATTCATCTCTGATAAAAAGAAATCACTGAAACGCGGGTCTCAAAATGATTTTCAAAAAAGTGATTTGGATTGCGTTTTGTTGTCATGATTAGTGAACTTTCTCCAAATTCGTATATTTTGATGCCTTCTGGCATTACAAGAAACATACAAAACCATTCGTTTTTGTGTCAATTCGAACTTTGACTTTTCTTTTCATTCAAGAGCGCCACAATAACTCTGCCTGTTTGACTAAAAAATCATAATCAAGTTATAATCGAGTACGCAAATTCAATTTTTTGGTGAAATTGAAATTTGAATCTGAGTATGTTTGCCTCCCGACGATGCGAAGGTCTGCTAGATGATTTAACACTCGGACAAACTTTTAATTAAAACTTGTCCAAGTATTAAACTATCTAGAAGGCATTTTCGTTTTAAATAAAGGATTGAATGCTTAATTTAATGTTTGGAAATTGAAAAATTCTGCTAGATGGTTTAATGCTTTGACAAAATTAATGAAATTATTGCAGACCCAACGATTTGAGCACTCTTTCAGGGCGCATATCTAGGGTTTTCGCGAGGGGAGGGTGCGGGTTTTCTAAAAATATTTCAAAAATTTTGTCGCCTCTTTTAAATTCTATCAAATTGATTTTCCGAGCTCTCTCAAAGTTTTTATAGAGACTCAAGTTTTTTAAATCTTTGTCTGTACTGCCGTCGATTTTTTGAACTAGAAAATGACAAAAACGATATTTTGAAGTTATAACGCAAATTTTTGAAGTTATTGTCCTTATAAAACTGCGTTTTTTTCTGGTCGATCCCGCCTTAAATTTGTCATTTTTTGGCATCAAAGACGTTCTAATAAAAACTTCCTGGTTGTTCAGCCAAAAAATTGATGGCGTAAAACAGTTTCAAGGGGGATTTTTTGGGTTGTCAGGGGGTCGAACCCCTGTGTGAAGGGGAGGTCTAAATATGTCGCTGCCTTCTTTGATTATTAATTAACCTTAATTGGGATATCCGATATGTAGTGAGTAACTACTGTTTAGGAATACAAGCACGACAATCTGACGCCTGAACAGATTGCGTCAATCAAAGAGACATTTGACAAGTTTGACAAGCAGGACATTGACGGCATCCCCGCCCTTGAGCTCATTAATGTTCTCCGGCAACTTCAGCTCACACCAACAAGTCCAGAAGTCACTGAGGTAAGTTAAAGAAATACATATCACGGATCTACTCAACAATCTTTCCACCCCTCCCCCCTTCAAGAAAGGTGGGAGATTGTTAAGTATCTTAAAATTGTTGAATTTTTGACCAATCAGAATGCAGCAAATTTCAAATTTGCAATAAAAAGCTCTGTGCTAATTTACTATTTTTATTCATAGGTGACGGGTGAAGATTTTTTAGTAGATCCTTAGTACAAATTCAGCAAGCAACCTGCATTGAAGGATTGGCTAAATTGACGTTATTATAAAATAACCGCTAAGATAAATAAATAATCATGATAAATTCGCTTACGAATCATGCATAATTTTGGTCAATTCGATTGGTCTTTGGACTTTACGGCTGCATGCCTGTTTGCAGGTGACATTTGAGAGCAATTTGGAGAATCAGAACCCATATTGTTTGTTTTTATCCAATTGAAAACTTAAAAATTTGTATAAACCGTTTTTGTTGATGTAGATCTAAACCATAAAGACCAAGGATTTTTACTCATAATTTCTTTAAATGAAACAAACTAGTTAGTCTTCAAAAAAATCAACCCAGTTTTCACCAAAAAATCTTTGAACAGAAATCAGTATCATGCAGATATAGGTCTCCGAGTTTTTAAGCAAAAGTGTCTAATTTAATTGCTGAGCTTTGGATTATCTTTAACGAAGTCTTACAGTCTAATTTGACAGTCTTATCGAAAAGAATAGCTCGCTCACTCATTTTCTTCTTATTAAATTTATTCATTACAGATCGCGTTTGTAATGTTCTAATCCGTGTGTCACTTAGGAGATGCTAACTTACTTCTTTTGATGTTATAAAATTATTCACATCTTCACTTGTTTATTGTTTTCTTATAACTTTTGTTAATATTTTATAGACTTCGTATATATGTATTTCATTGATTGAGTGAACTTTGAGTTTTCGTCTCGTCGATCTCATTTCGTCGAATTTTTTTTCCTGGTGATTATTCTCATAAAAAAAATTGTGGTTTCTGTAATTTATCTAGATTTTTGTTTGAGGTGCAGCCATAAATCAGTATTCCATATTGATAAATTGGTTGTATGTAGCTTTTGTAGACTCTTGTTCAATCGATTTGTTCAACCGAAAATGAGTGTTCAACCGATAACATGTTTCTATTTTGGTAGAGAAACTAAAAGAATTTTGTTCATCTATTTTTCACATTTCAGATATGTTCAGTGAAACTAAAGTTGCAATCAATTTGAACTTCTAAATATCTAACATCATTTTCTGCTTTTAAGACATTCCCTCCAAACTTTATCAATGGTTTTAATTTCTTTAAACTGATTACAAATGTTTCGATTTTGTCTTGGTTCATCGTAAGTTTTTTTTTTGCTGCCATCCATGTTTCTATGTTATTCAAATCCAGATCATAGTTTTCTTCCAAAAATTCGCTATCGCGATTAGTGTCATCAGCAAAAAGAACTACGTTGTTTTTTTGGAATCTCGGGGAGATCATTGATAAAAATTAGAAATAGAAGTGAACCCAAAACTGATCCCTGAGGAACCCCGCATTTTATTTTCTGTTGAGTACTTTTTGTATCGCAGACTTTTTTACACACTTTTTTGTTATTGCTTTTCACGCAATATCTTCTGTGGGGCGGATCTAGGATTGTTTTTGAGAGTCAGATAGTGTTTTTTGGTTTGCCAAATTTCCGCCGTAAAAAGTGAATTTTTGAAAATAAAATAACCCAATGATCCTGTTCAAGAAAACCAGGCCAAAATTGAAACTGAAATAACAGTACCAAAGGAGCACCTTTTGGATGGACATGGGGTCGAAGCCACTAGGAAGGGGAGTTGGCGGCTACTTCTTTTTCTATCTCCGCTGGAATGTTTAATCATAGTTAACGAATTTTAACGTAAAAACTCTTTCAACCATGTTGCAAATACTGTGAAAGGCGGAAAATAAAAGAGAGAAAAGCATAGAGAAAAATTATCGCGTATACATTCAGTTAGAAACTATAGAAAGCTAATTGAAACAACAGATCTGATCGGTCAAACTTTTGAAGTGCAGGTTACAAAACTGGGCCGGCTAGCTCAGGTCAAGTCATAAAGCCCCCCCCCCCTTCTTCCCCCAGACTTATTGCTGCTCAAGTCGGCCTCCAAATTCTTCTCTATCCTTCTTGTCCTACCTGCCTCTTCAGTTCTGCTCTTAATTTTTTTGAAACTTTTATACAAATTTATCGTTGCCCCCATTACGAAGCCAACCAGTGCACTGGAAAAGCGCATTTTATGGTATATGTACGTCCAGGGGTGGATCTAGGATTTTCTCGAGGGGGGATTTTCAAAAATTTTTGAAAACAATTTTGACGACCTTTCTTTTTAGGTCGACCAAATTGATTTTTCCGAGCTCTCCTAGACCAGTAAAAAGACGCTGTTGTGGCCGCAGGCAAATTTTTGAAAGAACAGATCAAAAAAGCAGTTTTTGGGCACTTTTTGGAATATTTTGACAAAAATCGCGTTTTTTGGCGCGCGCTCCCCCTCAAAGTTAGTATATATTGGCGCCCAAGGCGCCTTTAGAAAAATTTTAGGGTCGCTCGGCCAAAAATGGATGTCTTAAAAAGTACCAAAGGGGGAACCTTTGGGTCGGCAGGGGGTCGAATCCCTGAGAAGAAGGCGTCCGCCCCCCCCCCCCCCCACAAATGTTTTATTCGAACATGATAAGGTTTTGTCGGTACGTTCAAAGGAAACAATTTGATTGCTGTCATCGAAGAAGCTTTTTTTTTGCTCTAATCAAAACAGTAACTTTAATCAAACTAAGGCGACGTTTGGGTCAATATAGGATCCAAATGGGGCATGGGACAAGCATTGGGATTATACAATGGATGTTTTCTAAAAGCATCAGGGATGCCAATTTATACTAAAATGTTTCAGGATCAAAATGATAAAGGCTTTTGGCTCTGAAGTTGCATTGCAAAACGTATCAAAACTTTCATTTTTAATTGCAATTTTATGGGAAAACAGCTTGCATTAATTTTTGTTCTGTTGAGCAATAAAAACAAATATCGAAATCTGCTATCATTTCTAGATCCATATTTGTTTATTCTCACATCAATGCTCTGCAAAAATAATAAAAACGAATTCAGAGTATCATTTGTAGTTTTTTATTATTATAAAGACCCACATTACCTATTTTTCTGCATTATTCGTTCTTAGCATGTAATTCATGTAAATATTATATACGGGAATTTTCATTACAACTTGGAAAAAGATCCTTAAGTCTTTAAGCCTTTCCTAATTTGTGATGTATTAAGGGTTCTGGATTTGCCTAAGAAGTTGCGAATAATATCAAATATGAGTAGACATACCCGATTAAACCATCTTTATGGAACGCCTATTAATCCTTGTGTTTTCTGATAATCAGATGCACCATCGTAAAACATCTTACACAAAATTCTACCCAAGATAATCAATGGTTTCATAACAAATAACTCAAGTCTCCGATAACAGAGAAAAACAGCCATGATTTGTAGGAAAAAAAATTTAGCTGTGAAACTAAGCTTGTCTTTTATCGAAAGGACTGGATTTTTTTAATTCAAATACCGAATGCAAAACAATCCGTATTGGATCGATATTTTTGTATAAATTACACACTTTTTATAAAACGGCAAAATTTGGCTGATACAAAAAGGACGCAAAGCATTGATTACCTCAAATTTCATATTTTTCAAAAAGGCTAGCAACTTAGTTAACAGGAAAACGCAACAAGACTGCTCGTATCAGGGTGAAACTCTGAATGTTCCGACTGCTTTTTAAATTATATGGAGCAGTAATAACATGAAAAATTTAAATGTTATAATTTTTTTTTGGGAAAAAAAAGTGGAGATTTTTTGTAAAAACATCAACCCACACGCCATATTAAGTACAAAGTGATAGATTTTGCTCTTATTAACAAATCAGTTATGGCATATGAGCTTCCTGTTAACATTTTGGATCGATTCTAATGCGGATTAAACCTCCGCTTATGCGTTAATGGCGCGAAATATATCGCGCGTTAATTGTCCCGAATTGGCCAAAATTGCAATTTTTAAAAGCCCCACAACTTTACAAAAAATGATCGCAAGTAAAAAATTTTTTCAAATTTAAGTTTCGAATGATTAAAAAAAAATTCCGTCGAAAATGGCTAGTTAAAAAGTCGAAATTTATCTGAAGAAAAAAACCAACCCGAGCACAAATGTTCCGTTTCTTTCGTTACGGAAGTCGGAACAAAAAGTGTAAGAAAAAATATGATTTTTTGTTGAGAAGTTTTCAGAAAATGTCATTATGCAAAAATTGACTTTCTTTTACCTTTTTGCAGGGGCGGATCTTTCTCGAGGGGGGTGGGGGATGTGGATTTTCAAATGACGACGTTTTTTTAGGTCGACCGAATTGATTTTTCGAGCTCTCCCTAAGCACGGGTTTAGTCCCTGTTTTGGCCAAATTGACTGCACCGCAGGCAAAAATTTTAAAAAAAACATTCAAAAAAAAGCATTTTTTGGCACTTTTTGGAAATTTTGACCAAAAAATCGCGTTTTTTCGGAGCGCCCCTTAGTGTATTTTGGCGCCGAAGGAGCTTTTAGAAAACATTTAGGGTCAGTCGAAAAATACCAAAAGGGGACCATTTGGGTCGGCAGGGGGTCGAATGACTGAGGAAAAAAGCGTACACTGAGGAAAAAAGCGATTTTCAGACAAAATTAGTAAACAATGTTCAAACCGTTCATTTTGAGGATGAAACGTAATCAGTTATAGCGCGAAAATAATACTGTTTTTAATAAATTACTGTTTAAGATTTTTTTGAAAACTGTTTTTTCATAGCGGCTAGAACAATGTGTTCAAAAGAGACAAAAAAAAAATTTCTGCTCAAAAGTTTTGAAGACGAGGAATTGGAAACTCAAAATTTACAATGATATCTTGCCGCCATAACAGATGAAAAACGGGTGTTTTTTAATGACTACAATGTTTGTTTGATGAAACGAGCAAAATCGCGCTTTTTTGGAGCGCCAACCCCCCTCCAAATTACTATATATTGGCACCGAAGGCGCCTTTAGAAAACTTTTATGGTCGGTCGGCCAAAAATTGATTTCATAAAAAATACCAAAGGGGGACCCTTTGGGTCGGCAGGGGGTCGAATCCTTGAGGAAAAAAGCGTACCCTGAGGAAAAAAAAACGATTTTCAGACAAAATCAGTAAACAATGTTCAAACAGTTCATTTTGAGGATGAAACGTGATCAGTTATAGCGGGATAATAATCCTGTTTTAATAAATCACTGTATAAGATATTTTGAAAGCTGTTTTTTATCATTATCCCAGAAGAAAAAGTATGCTCAAAGCGGCTAGAACAATGTGTTCAATAGTGACAAAAAAATTTCTGCTCAAAAGTTTTGAAGACGAGGAATATGAAACTTAAAGTTTACAACGATATCTTGCCGCCATAACAGATGAAAAACTGGTGTTTTTTAAGGACTACATTACTTGTCTGATGAAACGAGGAAAAGTGTCTGTACAATGAACGATTGTTTAAGAACAAAATCTTCGGACTAGTTCTTTTTGTTCCAATTTTCGTAACAAAAGTAACACGGAATATTTGTGCTCGGGTGGGTTTTTTTCTTCAGACAAATTTCGACTTTTTAACATGCCATTTTTGATGGGATTTTAAAAATATCAATCAAAAGCTTTTGTTGTCCTGAATTTAAACTTGAAAAGATATCTCACCTGTGATTTCATAAAATTGTGAGGGTTTAAAGATTGTCATTTTGGCCAATTTGGGACAATTAACGCGCGATATATTTTGTGCTATTAACGCGTAAGCGGAGATTTAATCCGTCTTAGAAATCGTTCCAAATTGGTTCAAAGAAGATTATATTGGTTCAAAGAAGACTTTAAGAAAATTATATCATTTTCAATTGTTACAAATAATTTTTTCATGTTTATACTGCTCCATAGACCTTATGAGGCAGTCAAAACATTCAAGGGCTCGCCCTGATACGAGCAGTCTTGTTTTTTTTTTTCAAAATAAATCTGTATCCGAACGTGTGCATCCCTCTAGGTTCTGGAAAAGATGCACGCGAACAGTGCGGAGTGTGTGGTGACGTTTGAGGAGTTCCTGGACATCTACTGGGATTTTAGTCAGAGGGTAATCAGCGAGGAACAGGTGAAGGACGCCTTCAAAATATTGGACAAGGAGGGCAAGGGAGAAATAACTGTCGAGACACTACGACAGTTCCTCACTACCACAGGTTGAAATAATTGCCATCATAATGCATGGCCTGCTGACATTTACTTTCATATGGATCGATTTATCATTTTGAAGGCCAATGAGATCCGGGGCTCGGGTATCCAAAACAATGCAATCGGGTAGCGTTTTTGTGGTTTTTTCTCAACAAATGCCTGTTTCGAAGGAATTAGTGGGTCAAATTACGTTCTTTTGGCGGCTTACTTCGGTTTCTGTTTCAGTATGTTTCGGGAGAGTGTCTCAGTAAACCAATTTGGTTTTTGTGCGACCAAAAAACTTCATTGAAAACTTGGAAAATTTTATCAAACTGGCCCCTTGCGAAGATGCCAGATCACCTGTCCATATTATGTTTATTGATGTGTTGATAGGTGACATGCTGGACGAGGATGAGTTTGAAGCGATGATTGAGGAGGCAGATTTAGAGGGCACAGGTGTGATCAACTACGAAGAGTTCGTCACCATCATGTCCATCGAATAGACTGCTGTCTGCTGTCAGATAAGGCCATAGAATATACGGCCATGGCCATCTAGACATCACCGACATAACGCACGCTTCACGCATGGAAAACTAATTAGAAACTAAATTTTGCCAGAAACAAGTCCTAAATAGATACAAATCTTTAAATAATTGCTTTTTTTTCAAGAAAATGAAAGAATGAGGGAAAAATCAGGTTATTACACTAAATGATCAGTTATTAATTAAACAAAACGCTAACTGTGGGCTTGCTTGGTTTTTGCATGGTCAAAAATCAATTCAAAGCATTTTTTCTTAGAATGAATGCTAGCCAGTCCATTTCGCAACAAGAACCTAAACCCGTCATTGACTATCTACTTTTTTATACTTGCATTGTTCTTTTTATACTTGCAGTGAAAAAAAATAATATCGAAGATTTCAGTTCAGATCAAAATTGACAAATCGTGATGTTGCCGTTCTAAATGACTGTTTTAAGACCTGAGCTGCGAGGAATGAAGTTTAGACAAAGGTTTAGAGCTGGCCCTTAGAAACCCGCGGCGAAGAATTGTTTTCTCAAGTACAAGCTTGAAATCGTTCATTGTTCAGTTTCTGCGTCAGTGACATCTAAAATTTCAAATGTTTGCTCAAATTAGTGCGATGCTGTAAAGTGCACTCCTTATTCTTGCCGTACGTAATCCAAAGCCCATAATTATAATATCAACCGGTAGAATTGGAGCTAACCGAAAGTCCCAAACGCAAACATACTTACCTCTCCCCACCAAAACAAGCAAGGTTTTAACCATAATAATAACAATTTTTTTTCAACAATATGGTACTGCACAGGCAGTAACCTTGATGCTATGCTAATGTTATTTAAGTGTTAATGTTCTATTTTATCAGGTCAAGGTCAAGCTGGATCTAACCTTACCGCCAAACGTAGTTAGCAGAGTTTTCATTGTGCTTGTTATCCGTACGGATATAACGGATATCCATCATGAACTGATTCAAACTAAAACATTAAACATTAAATATAACTTGATACCTAATCAGGACACTTAAGCATCATACTTATGTAAAACTAAACATATAGATGTCTGATCTAACTAAGTACTTATTGAAACTAATGCCATATTCAATAGCTATTTATGAGTCTCTGTCTCTCTCATGATTTCGAGGTCAGATTCGAATCAGACATAAGTTTACCAATTGAATTTAAGTTGTTAACAGATTCTTCTTATCACTATTAACCATAGCTTTTGTCTCAAACCGTATCATACTACGATACCTACTTTCCGTGGGTATAACATTGCGCAGCAATCACAAAAAAAACACTGGGTATCGCGCTATTCTGGCAAAAAGCCTTGGCGGAACCCCCAATCGAAGTGGAGAAATGGAACCAGCAACTATATCTGGTAAGCTTAGCGAATGACGTAATTAATTTGCAGTAACTTCTACGAGATCCACCTCCAGTTCGAAAGCCACAAGAGCCTGGGAATAAAAGCCGAACCTGTTGGATTCGTACGAAGAAGAGGAAACCAGAACCGCAATAATCGAAGGGAAACAGAGGTCGCCCGTAATCACAACGTGGTAATAATCAACGTCAGGAAGCCGATCAAAAACAATCTTGCTATAAAAGCGGAAATTCGTTCGGACCTGGGCACCTCCAACAATGTCCAGCAAAATATAAAATTTGCAACAAACGCACGAAAAGTGGACACTACGCCAGACCTTGCAATTCCTCCAATGCCAATGCCATTACAGACGAACAGGATCCAGAATAATCTATTCATGACACGGACATGACAGCCTACATGGGCTAAATTAAGGCGGGAGATGTGATTTCGGGATGGGAATTACTCCACATAGATGACACAAGCATAAAAGCGATGAGTTTCCAAGATAGGCAACCAGACCAAATAATGGCAAACGATCTAAAAGGGCATCTCATTAGAGCCAGAATGGGAAACAACAACTTTGTTTTCATGCCGATACAGGGTCACCAACTGCTTTCGTCAACAACAAGACAGCCACCACTCTGCATAACACAGTTAAACAGGCCAGACGACAACAGCTGGGACAAAACGACGAAGCGAATAGAATGGTGTGCTATAACGGCTACAAGATCCTTTCATTCGGCAGAATCTTCACTCCGATTGAAGCTGGAGGGTGGACGGTTGACACCGCGTCCTTCTTTTTGGTAGACGATAAGCGAGCAAATATCATGGGACGAAATCTACTACCCTTTCTCGGCATCAACCTTTTTCAAGAAAATCCAACTGGTAAGTCAATGAACTTTGTATCTGATACGGAGCAGTCAGACGCATTCATAAACAATGGGGTATAATCAACATATCCGGGACTATGCACACGCATTGGTCCTTCCGAAAACCAAATGGTGTACAGAAAAATGCTAAGCGACTTTAAAGCCTTGCAACAAAAATGACGGAGATATCCGATCCATATTTAAGAATAAGTCGAACAAGAAATAGGATACCTAATTGATCAGGGCCATATCCTAAAACTCGACAGCTGCAGTGACAAATAAATTGTTAGCTCGATAGTAATAACAATAAAAAAAGATCATACAATCAAACTAGCAATGAATTCAAAACAAATCAACAAGGCAATACATAAGAAAAAATATCAAGTGCTCAATATTGACGTGCTTTTAGACAATGTAGCACAATTAGCGCAAAAAGCCAATAACAAACCCGGTACCACATTTTTTTTTCGAAAATTGACCTCCGCTATGCTCACAGTCAATTAAAATTTGAGGATACAACAAGAACTCAGTGTAATTTTAGAAGAATTATAGGAGGCCAAGCGAGCTGAACATACCAATTCCAAAGTGGATTCAACGGGCTTACAGATATGCCCGCAGAGTTCCAGAAAGCCATCGATCTAACTTTAAATAATGAGAAAGACACATTTGCTTTTCTCGACGACATCTTGATTATTTCCTACGGAACAAAAGATCAATAAATCGAAAATTTAAAACGAGTTTTATTTAAGTTAGATCAAGAAAACAGAGCCATCTCAGTAAACTAGTGTAAATTTGGATGCAAAGAAGTAGAGTGGTTGGTTTTTGTAAGAAATGAACTCGGATAAATACCGATGCACAAGAAAACTGAAGCGATTACAAAACTTCAACACCCTAAAACTTTTAGACAGCTTAAAATTTTTATGGTTTCAGTTCACCATCTTAAAAAGTTTATACCGGATCTCGCCCAATTGTGCACTCCCCTAAGACCACTACTATTTACAGCTTCTAAATTTCACTTTGCATGTTCAAAAAAACCCTAACTGCAGTTCAAAACATCACTGAAAATCGACACTTCGTAAGCATCCACGAAACTAGAATTGTCTGTGATGCAAGCCGTGACGGTATCGGAGCAGCCCTCAAACAAGAAACGCGAGACGGATGGGCTACTTTTGCTTACGTCTCCCGATTTCTCAGAACAAGCGAAACTAAAAGTTCCGTAAATAGATTGGAATTACTAGCCTCGGTTTGGGCCATTGAACATTTCAAGAATTACTTGTATGGTAGAGGTCCTACCCCAATCAAAGGCCATCAGGCCCTGGTGAGTGCCGTTAACAGCAACAAAAATAACAAAGCATATCAAAGCCGATTAGCAAGGTGGATAGACCGTCTACTCCCTTTTGACTTTGATATCAAACACCTCTCCGGCAGTAAATTGGGCCTAATAGATTATATTTCGCTTCATCCGGTGGGAAAACTACAATCTCCCGTAAACTGGGATGAACATTTTGTTGTTACAGTAATCACGATTTTGTTACCTGCTTTGAATTCCAAGATAGCACTATAGCTAATATAAAAACGGATTTCTAGGCACGTTTTAGCTCGACCGGAACAAAAACTTTGCTCATTCAAATTCGCGCTCAACACAAACTGCATTCACTGTAAAAGTCCACTTCTTGAAAACAGTCAAAAGAATTCTTCTCTTCACTTCAAAAAATTTCAATCAAAAAATCAGTCAACTTTATCAAGCAAAACAATTTATAAACAAATTCTTGAACATAACAATCCTTCCAGTTACACGGACACCGTCAGTACTAATACTAACAACAATTTTGATATGAATTGACCATTCAAAAGAAAATTACGGAAATGTCACAGCCGCCAACGAACCGCACTGTCAAACCTCACACAAACTTCGCTTCCTTCAACGAAACCCTACAAGAAGCGCCCCATAAAAGCTTATCGTTCGGAGACATTGCTTATCAAATTTTATTGTCGGAGGACAGCTTTACTTTTAACAGAAAGGACACAAACAAATCTTTCAAACGTTGGATCAGACTGATGATTGCCATGCAATCACGACGGAGGAGGAGGACATACCATTGTACTGCAAGAACCTAAGGAAGGTGTTAGACATCGGTTTTATTGCGGCTGCCACAAAAGGCGACCGAAATCTCCAGCCCCTCGTCAATATGATCCACCAGCAAAAAAAGGACCAGATTAAATTCTGCTTTGGGCCGTACTTTTACAATGTGCGAGATAGACTTCCGATACGAGACAACGTATTGCTTTACGATGACGGGGCAGTAATCCCCAACAAACTCAGGCAGATAATTCTAGATTCACTACATCTACCACATCCAGGTCAATGCGGTATGTTGGAGGCTGCGTACCATGTGTGTTATCCATACCTACACAGGGATATCGTAAGAACAATCCAAAACTGCAAAGAATGCCGCGCAAAAGGTAAGAACATTTCACCACGTTAAACGCAGTGGTAGAACCCCAAAAAGAAATCCAATTGGATTTTGCCGGATCTTTACCTGACGCAAATGACAGGGAAGTGTACATCCTAGTAGTGGTCGACCTTTTCTAGCAATTCCTATCGACAAAAGTCGTCACTATCAATAAGGACGACACCATTCTAAAATTTATTCAAACCCACATTGAAAATCACGGCGTACCACGAAAAATTCGTTGCGATCAAGCCCAAGGGCTTAGGGCAAAAAAATTCATAATATATTGTAAAACCAATAATATAAACCTAATATTCGCACCGGTCAATGACCACCGTTCAATGGGTATGGTATAACGGTTGATCAGAACCCTAAAAACCAGACTGTCGGTCATGAAAAGAGATTAAAAAAATAACCAACAATACAAAATTGCGTCAGATGTGGCAGAGTCAACCACG